TTTGATCCATGTCTGTCCACTTCAAGGGACCATGTGTATGTGTGTCTGCTCTGGCTATTTATCCCCATGACACCAATTGTGCTATACCACCCTCAGGCCCCTCAACAATATTATTCATAACTCGCACAAATAGACATGCAAGCCCTTTACAGTTCTCAAGGTGTGGTTTTGCATCTTCCATCCCGTCTCAGTTGGACCCTGTTAACCACATTGCTCCGTGTTGTCTGGCATGACCACATGACAAGAAGGGCTAAACAGCTGGGAGGGCTTGCTTTTTAAATGTGGGCTAAGAAAGGTGAAAAGATCTTGTGGAAACGCAGGATGCTTTTAAAGCAGATTAAGATAAGGGCCATTAGAACTGACGTCGCCAAGCTGTCTGTGTAAAGATGCATCTAAACTGGCGCCTGGCGCTTGAGTTGGGGTGAAAAGGAGGGGTTGGTGGATGTATCTGTGCAACTTGCATCCTCTCAAAGTCAAAGTGCTCTGAGCATAGGCTATGAGCCCCCAAGGCCTCTCAGCATATTGTCTACAGTCTCAGCAGTATCATTAAAGGCACATGTGATTCAAGGGATTTCTATTACAGAGATACTGTATTTATTTATATAACAGTCTTATGTTTTATTTTTTTATTGTAAATTGTGTGTATATATATATATATATATATACATATATACACAGTGTATATATATATATATATATAGTTATATATAGAAGCAATTTATTTTAGGTTTATTGCAAAATATATATACACACACAATCATTTAAGTATTTTGAGGGTGTATCATTACGTTATTTGTGGTGCTTTCCCTGCCAAGCTCTTTTGGTGCGATTTGCTTGCTACGACTCAGCTGTTAAACATAAGTTGTTTTTAAAAACAAGCTGAAATAATGCGAATGGATGGCTTCAACAAAAGCATATACTATTGATTAACAGCCTCAGAGCTCACAGTTGGTCTGTCTTTAAAGGTTTATAAGTTATCATTAAAAATCAATTCCCCTTTGCAGAAAATGTTTTTACTTCCGGAACCCGACTGTTTGGTTCTATAGAAAACGAACTCTCACTGCATCTTTTGATTGACTGAATAATTTGCATACCTGATACTCATTGGGCCAAAAAGTGCTGACAGCGAGCTCCGCCTTCATCCAGCCTTTGCCTGTGCAGGAAGTGACGTTCCAGATGGGATTGGCCAGCGGCCCTTTATTGACCTTCACCAGGATGTTGAGCGTCCCGGGGCTGGAGCCGTCGGGGCAGTACAGGAGATAGTTGAAGTCGATGCAGTGAGTGTCGTTTTCTTTCATCACGGGCATCTGCAGGCGAGCCTTTTCTCCGTAATCGTGCTGCGAGGTGTCCACCATCATGTACGAGCCTGGAGGGCAACAAAAAACGGAGAGAGGAAACACACGTGAGCTGGGAAGAACTCGACGAATATGAGCTCTTTTCTAAACCCTAGCGAGCTGCCTTGCCGTCTACTCCCTACATAGGCAGCGCCCTCACCAAAATGGAGCCTCATTAGTGAGTGACTTGGAGCTCTGCATAAGCAGCATTGTGACACTAACAACAATATGAATAAAATATATTTGTAGTCGACATTTCCCATCTTTTTTTTTTTTACTATTGTAACGCATTCTGGGATCAACGATTCAATTAATCTTAAAATCAAGATTGACTTTTTTTACTTTATGCATGAGATTTTTCTCTGAACTCAACAGGTCTGTTGACATTATGGCTAAAATATTCCCAAACGAACTGAATCGAGGGCTTGTGCAACAAATCTGAATTAGTTCCCCAGCTCTCTGGTTTTGAAACAGATTTTGAACCAGCAAACCACATGAAAAACCTCCGCCAAGCAATGTACAAAACGTTGAAAAAAGTGAAGAAAACAGATCGTTTGAGAAATCATGTGGGATTCTAGCAGGAACACCAAAATATAAACTCAGGCATGAGGACACAATATTTTTGAAGTTCAGAATCAAAGACTCTCTCATACACTTGGCAGTTGGCTGTGTGCTGATTACTGAACGCTTTTATAATCACTCCACCGGAGAAACGGTTCCACGCTATCGGCCAAGATGCACAGGGCCATATAGGATCTGGTTCCAGTTCTTTAAGCATGTGATTGCACTGAGAGGAAACCGTTTCAAATCTCAAATGCCAAGAGGATGGACATCAGGCGGGGAGAGGACAGACTTCACCACCATTTGTCCAAATAAGCATACATCTGTTCATCTGTCTCTCCACGGCCAGGAAGAGAGATGACTAGCTCTCTCTCTTTGATCCTCATCTTCTGTCAAAGATAAAGTCTACATGCAATCCATCCTCTTTACTGCCTAAACAAATGCCCCTGGCCATGCTGTGTGCAGTTCATCAGCTGCGTGTTATTCCAGATTCAGACTCTTTTTTTCTCTGCTGTAACTATTGGTCATTTGGGTGGGGAAAAATAATCGTACATAAAACATGACGGCCTGATGCTCCGCTGCACTCAAGGCCGTTGTAAAATGCTGATAAACACATACCTGTGAGCACACATTCGATCTTTATGAAACAAAATGATTAATATATTCATTCTTACATAAACGATTGCATCTAATGGGACAATTTAAGCAGAAATGGATTTAAGAACCATTCAGTCTGCTCAAGTCTAATGAATAAGACGTTTTACAATATGTCAGTAAGATATTTAGTAAGTAATTAACATTTTATTCAGCAAAGTCTATTTCAAATAAATGCTGCTCTTTTGAACTTTCTATTCAACTGTGAATTCTGAAAAATAAAATGTAACGCGGTTTCCACAAAAATATTTTCAACATTGATAATAATCAGAAATGTTTCTTGAGCAGCAAATCAGCATATTAGAATGATTTCTGAAGATCATGCGACACTGAAGACTGGAGTAATGATGCTGAAAATACAGCTGCGCATCACAGAAATAAATTACATTTTGCAATATATTATAATACAGTTCTTATAAATTGTAAAAATATTTCACAATATTACAGTTTTACTGTATTTTTGATCAAATAAATGTAGCCTTTTGGGCAGAAAAAAACTCCTTTCAAAATTATTAAAAAAAATCTTACCAACCCCTAACTATTAAACAGTATTTTCTATATCATCTGGTGGAACAACTGTATTACAATTATTATTATTAATACATGTAAATATTATTTGAACACCTCTCACTTGTTGAAACCCACAACATAAAGGCTTGTATTAACCAATAATATACACGCTTAATATCCACCAAACCCCAATGACTGAAGTGAGTTACATAACACTGCATACATTAATGTTGTGAATGAAGTTTCATGAAAATATAATATATAATCTCCACTCTTAACATTCACAGTACTGTAGAGGAGGACATCCAGTCTGGTGTTTTCCAAACACTGCTGCTCCTCTTTAATTTCCATAGAAATAGCAAATATCTGAAGCAGTGGTCGTTTAGACTCGGGGATAGACTGTTCATTCAGGACACAGATGTAATGCTGTAGATGTTTCCAGGCAGAGCTTTCATTTGGGCTTTATTTACAGATGAGACTCATCCATGAGATCTTCTAGGAGCTGCTGTGAGAAAATCTGTTTCTCTCTCTCAACAGGTGAGTTCTGGGTGAAAGAAAGCCTCTTGCTTTTATAAGCATAGAGTTTAGATCAGACCATCAGGATGTGAGAGATGGCAAATCAAAGGCAAATTGGCCAAGAGCTGCTGGCAACCCTACAATTCATATCTATCTCCTGATTTCACTGCAAACAAAACAAAAAAACTAAAATAAAGCACTCCACACAGGATTCTGAATACAAAATAAAGTTCTGATTGGTTGTACTAACACCTGCTTTTCATTGATTGCATTTACTCATTTGCATATTACCTTCACACTTTCATCACTGTCTAAAAAATATTGATTACTTCTTTAAAAAATACAGAAATATACAACTACCTTTCACAAGGTATAGTCACAAAATGACGTCCCTTCCAATATCTGGCTATTCCAACAGTAAAAGGGAAAGTTCACCCCAAAATAAAAATGTGCTTTTCATTTCTCTCAGGCGATCCAAGTAGGTGACTATTTTTCTTCAGTAGAACAGTAAAGAAGATTTGTAGCTGAAACTGTCGTCCTTGGTGATTCCTAAAATGCAAGTTAGCAGTTACCGTCACTTTGACGGTCAAAAGAAACAACAACTTACATAAACAATGAGAAACCATAAAAACTTTCATTTGGCTGATTCATTGGAGTTCTCGGTAGAGGTCTACGCGGGACTGTATTTTTAGTCCCGCTCCCGCAAGGTTATATTCCGCACCCACCCGCTCCCGCTATATATTCACTCTTTGTTCACCCGCTGGCCGCTTAGAATAATTTTCTTCCCGACCCGACCGTTCCCGCTAAATTTAGATCTCGTTTCCAGAATCTCATATTTAAATTTCCGCTACTGAAAGAAAGAGAGATAAGCTGACAAATAAAAGTGTATTCTGCACAAAATTGTATGTTTTATTCGTCTTGTCAAGAGTCTTGAATTTATTGACTTTGACTTGAATTTATATGAATTATCTTAAGACACAAAATTAGTTTAATATTTTATGCAACACTAGGAAAAAAAGTGTCAGAGAAAATAAAAATGTACAAAAATTGTATTTCTTATTTTTATTGGTCTTGTCAGGATACAATTTGTTTAACATTGACAACGCAATAGGAAAAAGTGTCGCAGAGAGAAAAAAAAATAAAAATGTAGGTTGTACAAAAATAGCCTATTAGCTATTTTTATTCGTCTTGTCAAAATACTAAATTCGTTTTGCATCCACACTTTGCTCCATCCTTATTCTGCTCTGTCACTCATCGACAACCTGCCTGTTCTGTCTGAGGGCCGTATATTTACCACAGGTACAGCCTGCTCTGAGCATCGTTATGCACATGCGCACAGACCACGCAAATAAAACGTGTGACGGTAAAGCATGCGTGCAGCGCGTGCATAACAGTACTGAGCGCAAGCTGTACCCTACCGGTGGTCAATAAGAATAAAGCGCAGATATGCTGTTCTAAATGGACTTCGGGAACGGGATATTGTTAGACCGCCCGCTCCTGTTCAAATTACACCAGAGTTACCGACCGCTACCGCGTTTTATTCGGGAATGTAATCCCGCAGCGCAAAAAATCCGGTCGGGTCCCACGGTCCCCACGGTCCCCACGGGAGAGCCACAGGAATGCAGACCTCTAGTTCTTGGTTCACGCACGTGCATATCAGCGGCTCATCGGTCTTCGGTCTGAGTGACTGTTGGAGGAACTGGAGCGCTGAATCAGTTCATTCCTCTTAGGATCAGATAGGCCAGTATTTCGGCTAATTTCCGGTTGGAGTGACTGTCAGGCGTCTGAAAGTGAGTTTGAATCGAGCCGTGAACTGTTTCAGACGCTTCAGTCCGACTTAGTTAACTGGTTCAACTAGTTTGCCAAAAAGAATCGGTTCAAAAGAATGATTCATTCACGAACCAGACATCACTCCGGACCGTTTGCCTGAGGCTCTGGATTACAGGTAATAATGTTGTAAATAATGTTCAGTTTCTTGCACAAACTGATCATTTCGTTTCATAAGACCTCAATATATAGTCAGGAGCCACGGGTATTAATTTTGTGTTTGTTGATATGCTTTTATGATTCTCAAAGTGACGGTAGCTACTGACTTGAATTTTTAAATATTTTACTTAAAAATGGATTTGGGTGACCTTTGCTATGACTGTATATAGTATGTTTACTGTACATTGTCAAAGTGTGCTGTATAAAGCAATTCTAAACCATTTCTGCTATTCTCAAGATGAAAACTGGGCAGGCTGTTTGTCAATAGAGCAAAGTACTGACTACATACTACTGACTGAAACCTTTAGTATGTGGTAGTATGCAGTACACTAGTATTCCATTCCAATCCACCTGCTGGGCTTTATTTTACAATAATGCACATTATTCTGCTTATTACTTGGATATTTGCCAAATAAATGTGTATGGATTTCTTTATGAATATTTATGATTTTCTATAAAAGAAAGAGATGAAACTAGCACAGTTATGGAGAAAATCACCTGACTGAGACAACCAATTAGGCTATACAGCAAATATTAGAGCACAGAATGACACCATTGACCAATCGCAATCAAGTATTACATGTGTAATAAAGCTAAATACAGCCTGTGTAAACAGGGAGTTAAACTATGAGCTCAGCGGCAGGATTGCAGAGCAATTGTGAATGCTGCCGGAGTAATTGAATCGACTCCCGGGGAAAGCGTGGCGCTCACAGCGAGACGTTAATGGCTGCAGGTGAGAACAGCGGCGTGGATGTCAGAAGGTGTGTGTGTCCCGCCGTTTCCTCTATAAACGCCCGTTGGGTAA